AAAACTCAGGATCTCTTATAATGTAATTTCCATCGTCTTTAATGCGAGCCATAATTCATGTATCACAAAAACATCCTGTGAAATGAAAATAGCACAAAGTTACAATCAAGCTTCAGGAAAACCCGGACAAGTTATAATATGAAAAACATGAAATACTGCAGCTATTAAAATTAGAGTGGCATTACAATTAGAGTTACATGCAGTTAGCTTACACATGAGATTTTTTTATTTTATTCATTATTTATTGAAAGAGGATTGCCAACAGCCAGAGGCTACGTGCAGCTTTGGTTCACGACAGATTAAAGCTTATCTTCAGAAGAGACACTTTTATTCTGTCACTGCAGCAACAGCAGGCGAGTCACATTGTTCTGCGGAACCCTTTTTATTTTTCTCATTAAAAATAGAATATGACAAAATATTAAATATATTGTAAAGCATTAATTTTGTTAGTTGAAATCGGGTATGAAATAGCTTTCGGTAACTGCAAGTTATCTTAGATCGGTAGTTTGTATCTTATGTCTTTTTGTTATTTATTATGTACTAAGTACTATTTTTTAGTTTTTTCTTACATTTCTTTGTTACACCACTGTCCCAGGTTAAGGGGAGGGTCCGGCGACCAGAAACCTGTTAAATCCCGCCCTTTCTTTATGCTATGGTCCCAAGCAGGAACAATATAATCCGAGTGCTGTCGTTTATTGCTGTCTTCCATGTTTGTTTTTCCGTTCATTGTTGAAATATAGATAAAGTCATTTGTTTCTTTTTAGATTTTTCTTCTTCAAGTTTTGACATACCGGAGCCTTATATTTATTGCTTACTATAAGATATGAAATTGCTCATTGTTGAAGTCTGTACTCTGAACTGTAATTGGCGTATTGTTTACATCTTTTTCCTTTGGTCTTGATGGGTAGTTGTCTCACTGGGAGTGGCAATCACACCACATGTCCTTATTTTTATATAAAATATACTAATAAAAGGTTGGTATCATAGATTATTCCATATACTAGTAAAAACTGAAAACCTCAGATAAAGTTTGGTAGATAACTAGCAATCTAGTACTACAGATTTTTATTATTTTTTTTGCATTTATGTCCGTTGTCTCAATTATAATTAATTGGTAAAACATTAATAACCTTCCTTGTTTCTATCGTCATCTCGTCGTTGCCTCGTTCTATACATTTCCGCAATAACAACATATACTTTGGAAATTGTATTTGCTTGGTGGTACTGGGTTATAGAATGAGGACTTTTGTATTTCTTTGAAATTGTTGAAATTGAAATTTTGAGTTCTTCTTCAATATCGCCCTTCATTACTCCAACATTCTTAAATTTTTAAGGAGACACTCCTCGTTTATATGAAATCTCAACATCTTTATATAATGTGCATTGCATGAACAGATACAGTCCTATTGATAGTGCCTTACATTATATACCTTGAAGACATACCTTAAGCTAACATTTCTCCCACACCATATTATAGCACTAACAAAAGTCTTGATATTTAAACACACAGAAACATTTCAGGCATTTACCAATATACTTATAAAATAAATCTAATTATCCAACTGCATTCATTATTCTTTTACTGTATAGTATCTATATATATAAGTAATTACTCAATTAATTGAGTACTAGTACTGATTTGTCAACAATAAGAAGCTTTTGAGGTATCCTACTCTTTCATTGTTTGTCTATAATTAATTATTCATCTGTACTAGCTGTAGGGGGTTACGCAACTGATGATGTGTATTTGGTGTATACTTTGAAGCTAATTAAAAGGCTGACATTCAGATATTGCAAGAGTCAAGCAGCGGCATTATGTTTGTCCGAATGAGTCTATATATGGGTTGTATTGTCAATCGTGTTAAACATAGCTATAAAATAAATGTTTTAATTTTGTAAATGTCGCGTTACTGAATTCAATTTCAATTTATTATTTGATACTTTTAGCAAATAATGCATGGTTAATAACTGTATTTCATAATTTTGCATTCTGTTCTGATTATAATCGTTTACCTAGCTCCGTTAGATTCGTCTGTCGGTCGTTTTACCAATCTTATTAAAATCAGATCTTTCACTTCGAAACAGATCAGATTGGTATAATTTGGAGGAGTTTCCGTCCCCGAGGATATCATGAGCCCACCAGTCAGCTGCTCTCTATTGTGATGACATGACGTATCATTGATATGGTCATCCTTATAAATTAACTGTTCACAAAAATTTGAATTTTTCGAAATAATAAGGATTTTCTACACCAGGAATAGATTACCTTAGCAGTATTTGGCAAAACTTTTCGGAAGTTTATGTCCTCATTACTCTTAAACTTCGTACTTTATTTGGCCTTTTTAATTTTTTGGATTCGACAGTTAAAAAAAGAATAGTGCTTTGAAGCACCGTGGCCAAGATATATGTTTATGACTCAGAATTTTTTTACCGCAATAAAATGTAGGATTAATCTCCTACAACTGTTAAATTCTAGGGAATTTTTTGTTCGACCCTTTTTCGTATGCAACTGATTGTGACGTACTATGATTTAGTGGTATTACACCTTATATATCGGAAAGTGAAGACTATATTGCAGCAAGGATTTGTATACACTATACAAATCCTTGATTGCAGTGAAAAAATCCTTTATATATTCCAACCTGTTTGCCCTTTTGACAGAACATGTGCGTTTTGATTTGAATGTTTATTAAATATGTATCAAGTATAATGATAACACAATTGTGTAATTTAGGTTTTTAGACGGTCTCTATACGCGTTGTGTATGTAGTATTTAAAACAACGTGCTATTATGCATTGTTAAAATAAACCTGGGAATAGTATACCGTGGAAGTATTATATTGATACTTCTATGGGTATACTGACAATATATTATGTTCCAGAATAAGCTGATTATTTCTGAACGTTTGCCAGGTGATATTTTGTATTTCCATCATAGCCTGAGCAAATGCCGGAAAGCAAGAAGAAATTCAACAAAAAGATATTTCTGTCAAAATATTTAATTCATTAATATAGATAGACCAAGGAAATATTTATTAAAATTATTAAGTTTAAACTGAGACTAAATTTATCATTAATAGAATATGATAAATAATCATAGTTATATTATGTCCCACAAATTTAAAAGTGAATACATTGACGAAAATTATATGCAACAAATTAGCACAAATTATCAGGGATGCACAGAAATGAATTGGTATCTAAAAGTTAAACTGTATTGAATGAAAAACAAAATAGTTGCATGGCCTTAATTCACAAAGATTTTAAAATCCTAGCACCTCACAAACAACATAATTAGTATTTTACAATAATTATTTAAATACTACGCTAATTGTTTTAGTATGGTTTTATAAGTCTCTGCTTATATTATGTATAGTAATATATTCATAAAATGGAAAGTTCGACTTGAAGAAGAGAATAATTTGACAGAAAAATGTCCGTCAGTAAATACTTGACGTTTGTGTTTATTGATAGTGTATTTCAAATTTTCCAAAAAGATTTATTAACGGGATTGTATGTTAATTAAATTTCAATTTTGTGTTTTTTTTTTAATAGTTCAACCTTACACATGTTACATGATCTAAATGTTTGCAAAATGGTGCAATTTTGAAAATTTAATGCATTGATTTACATTATATTGCAACCTGTTCACACGACACAACACAATCGGATTTAAAATCGGATCTGACAACAATATCGGTTTGCGTTCACACAATTGCCGAATTAAATGGCAAAGAATCCAGAGTCAAACCACTTGAGGTAGATAGTTTGACATCCGAATTCAACTAACACTCGATATATGATATTAGAGAATAAAAATATGGTAATTCTTGGTCTTCTTCCGACCGGCAGTATTAACAGGATTGTATGTTAATTAAATTTCTAGTTTGTTTGTTGTTTTGAATATTTCAACCTTACAGGATCTAAATGTTTGCAAAATGGTTCGATTTTGAAAATTTAATACATTATATTGCAACCTGTTCACACGACACAACAAAATCGGATTTAAAATCAGACTTGACTACAATATCGGTTTGCGTTCACACAAATGCCGGATTAATTGGCAAAGAATCCAGAGTCAATCACTTGAGGTAGATAGTTTGACATCCGAATTCAGCTAACACTCGATATATGATATTAGAGAATAGAAATATGGTAATTCCTTGTCTTCTTCCGACCGGCAGTAAACAAGTCTTTAAAGGATTCGTAGGTGGCCTGTTGTAAGGCACAATTTCTGTCCCTATCCAATATAACCTCATTTTCTAGTGGCAGTCTACTATTTCCCCGACCTTCATCCCGGACGGCTTCAATGACCTATTTTATTTATTGTTAAGATGTTCTCGTCCTGAACATACATGAAAATTTGCCACTGGACTTTTAGCAACCAACAGTCAATCAATCAATCAATACTATTTCTTGTGCAAGAAAACAAATGCATGCATAGATATTAATTTCACTCACGGGATGTGAATTTTCGCATTTCTTGACTAAATTCAGGACACGGCAGTAAGAGCTTGACATGTGACTTTGCAGCATTGTCATCAATAAGGTATTCTGATCTTTAGTTTTTTTATTTCTTTTTCTTCTTTGTTTTTGAGTGACTGTCCCATTATAAACTTTGAAATTCTTGAAATACTAAGTAATTTCTACCCTAGGAATAGATTACCTTAGCTGTAATTGGCAAAACCTTTCGGAATTTTGGGTCCTCAATGCTCTTCAATTTCGTACTTTATTTGGCCTTTTTAACTTTTTCGATTCAAGCGTCAATCATGAGTCTTCTGTAGACGAAACGCGCGTCTGGTGTACAAAATTTTAATCCTGGTAACTATGATTAGTTTATGGACTTTTTCCATATCTTTTAACATAAATTGGTTCAATTGAGAGCATGTCCAGGTATTCATAGAAGATCTGAAATCAAGATATTCTCCTGAAAATATTTGGATTGATTTAAGTAATTTCAAGAAATCCTTAAAATTAAAGATGTTTTATTAGACCAAAATAATTGTGAGTATATAAGAGGTCCTAATGAAGTTGGTGTGTTACCCTCAAGAACAAAATACGAAACCTTCTTACAAGTTGTGTGATACAGAATTACACTTCACCTGGAAATTGGACCTTCAATTTCTCTATATCACCTCTGTCATGAGTATAGATAGCTTCAATAATGAGTATAAGAATAATTGAAGGCATCCTGGAAATAAACATGAAGCTATGAAAGATAAAATAAATGCATCAACATTATAAAGCAAAATGAGTGCACAAATTTATATAGCGATTTGCTTTAGACATGTTAGACATCCAGTTTGCAGAAACTGGGAATTACAAATGGACCGGGACTTTGTATATTTATCACAAAGAAAAAAAGTATGTACCTTCCAAGTAAAATTAATAAAATGGTCAAGTCTTAAAAAGTAAATTCAAATGGTAACTACACACTTTTTCTATTTACAACTAAAATCCAACAGTGCTTTTAATTGACTTTTTACAAGAATCTACACACAATTACATATTTTCAAAAAAGGTGTTTTAACATCACCATTACCTTATTCTTCTCACAGTCAAATATTTTAAATCAAAAGCAAAAAAAAAATCAGCAACAATTTTTTGGTGACCAGCCAGCTCAGCCAGCCAGCGGTCTCGGGTTCACGTATTGCTTTTCTTTTCTTTTTTAAAGAAAGCAACTTGGTTTTTCTATTGAAAATGGCTAACACTGCAAATTCTGTAGATACCTATCGATGTGGAACCTACCTTGTCAGACTATTATAAAACATACATTTGTGTTATAGCAGTCTGAGATCTAATTGGTTTTAATCTGTGCTCGTCCTAATTGTGCATGAAGTATTTGCCATAGGATTTAAAGTAAATAACAATCACATTCAATCAACATTTACATTCATATTTTCAGTGATTAGATTCTAGTTTGTGCTTTTTGAAATCAGAATGCTTCTCAAATTTCTTTTCGCATTTCTTACACTGATAACGAGGTTCTCCAGAGTGCACGTGCATATGAAACTTCATAGTTGACAGTTGTGTAAACGATTTGTCACACAGACTACACGTGTACGGTTTTTCTTTTGTATGAATTCTTCGATGACAAGTATAAACAGCATGATAAGTAAACCTTCTATCACAAATATCACATTTATACGGTTTTTCACCAGTATGTAAGCGAACGTGACGTACGAGATGGTGCTTTTCGGTGAACTCTTTTGGACAATAGTCACATTTGTATTCTTTGTTTGTTGGTGGGTAGTGACATTTCATATGGCGTATAAGCTGATGGTTTTGTCCAAAATCTCGACCACATATATCACACTGTATAATCTTTCCTTTATATAAGGCAAACTCCCCAGTGTGAACGCGACTGTGTCGTCTCAGATGACTCTTCTGTTTGAAGGAGCGGTCACATATATCACAGTGATAAGGTCGTTTGCCTGTATGGACTCTCATGTGGTTATCAAAATCTCTTTTGTCAGGCTCAAGCTTTCCACAGACCCCACATCTGAACTTATCCTCGTTAATATGACAGTTGTGAGTCTTTGTATGACTTTCATATCGGCTCCTCTTCCCAAAACATTTACCACAAATCACACATTTGAATGTTCTATTGTAAACTGGTTCCCTTAAATGAACAGCCATGTGTCTTTTTAAATTGCTTTTACTTGAAAGGGTTCTAAAGCATATTTCGCATTCCGAAGTGTTATCTCTTGTAGGTTTTTTAACTTTCGTACCAATATCGTGATAATTTTTCTTTTTATTTTCTGACATTTTCTGTTTTCGTTTTGTTGTTTTCTCATCATGCGACAGTCGGTGTTGCATCATTGTGCGCCTGTTCGAAAACTTTCGGAGACAAATGTCACATCCAACACGCCTTTTCCGATACGTTTTCACATATTTCCTTTTGGTCTCAAAGATATCTCTGTGATAATAATCTAGGTGTATTTGATTATCAATGTCGCTTATGTCGGGCTCTTCCGATGCCTGAACTGTATGTACGATATATTTTCCATTAATATTCTCTTGTTTGACATGATAAAATAATCTTGCACAATTTTCATTGACAATAATTTCGTCTTCTATCGATATTTCGTCCTCATTTATTTCATAAAACTCAGGGTCTTTTATAATGTAATTCCCATCGTCTTTAATAAAAGCCATAATTCATGTATTGCAAAAACGTCCTGTGAAAGTAAAATAGGACAAAATTACAATCAAGATTCAGGAAAATCAGGACAAGTTATAAAATGAAAGACATGAAATATCGCAGCTATAAAAATTAAAGCCGGATTGATCCTTCACAGACAATTAAAAGTTACAGGTATAAAGCTTACAAATGAAATTTGCCGCGTAGGTTTGTGACAGCTTCTCAACTTATTCTCCATCTAGAAGATTGGCTAATTGGCACGTAAAGAATGTGGTAGGGTTAAACAAGTCACATTAAACTCCAAATCATATTAATGAACCAAAATTTAAAAAAAACATACAGGACAAGCAAAGGCCAGAGGTTCCTGACCGGGTACAGGCGCAAAAATGTGGCGGGGTGAAACATGTCTCAACCCTCTCCCTATACCTTTTAGCCAATGTTGGATAAACAAACTCGCAGCAAGACGCACAGTAAACTCAGTTTAAAAGAAGTCTGAGTCCGATGTTAGAATAAGTAACAGAAGAAACTAAGACAAATATATTCCAGTAAAAGGTTTATATCAATGAATATTTCATAGGAATACGCCACACCTCAGATAAAGTATAGTATACAAATAGCGATACTACATATTATTATTCATTTTTCGTTGTGAATTTTGATTTTTTATACGACCGCAAAAAAATTTTCGGTCGTATATTGGTATCACGTCGTCGTCGTCCGCGTCGTCCGAAGACGTTTGGTTTCCGGACAATAACTTTAGTATTAGTAAATAGAAATCTATGAAATTTAAACACAAGGTTTATAACCACAAAAGGAAGGTTGGGACCGATTTTGGGGGTTATGGTCCCAACAGTTTAGGAATAAGGGGCCAAAAAGGGGCCCAAATAAGCATTTTTCTAGTTTCCAGACAATAACTTGTGGAACGGTGTATGGATCTCTCTGAATTATACCACAAGTTTCCATACCACAAAGGGATGGCTGGGTTGGCTTTGGGGTGTTATGGCTCAAACCGTTTAGGAATTAGGGGCAAAAAAGGGGGAAAAACAAGGTTGTCCTGGTTAATGGACAAATACTTTAGTACAAAACATAATTTAAAGCAGTGAAAGGGATAAATCAAATACAATATTTGAATTACCTCCCTTACACTGCTTTTAAAATATGTATAAAGTAATGGTTAATGAACAATTAAGACAATTTAAAACAGTGTAAGGGAGGTGATCCAAGTATAATGTTTTGATTACTTCCCTTACACTGCTTTTAAATTATGTTTAAAGAAATGCATATTTATAAAGGAAGACCAGTAAAAATATCTGCAAATTTTGCATCTTTTTTTTTTACAAAAAAATCCATATGAAAGATTTGACACCCTTTTTTAAATTCTATTATATAATAGATTAAGTAAGCACTATGGTAAATTTAAATGGGTAATTGGAAATTTGAATTGCGATTATGACCATATCTTGAGGGAAAGAATGTTTTGGGGGAAAAGGGGGGGGGGGGGGGGGGGTAAAAAGAAATTGTGTGGGGTCAATTTTTTCTCATTTCAGATTTCAGAAATTAAAAAGAATTATTCTTCAAATATTATTTTTTTTCAAATTTCAAATATTGAAAAATTTCAAGAAGTTATCTTAATTGCACAGTATGGCGCATTATATTTGTAAAATCTTTGACCACATTTATTTATTTGTTATGCCGAATCTAACAGTGTATTTAGATTTTTAATTTTGGGTCCAGTTTTCAAATTGGTCTACATTAAGGTCCAAAGGGTCAAAAATTAAACTTAGTTTGATTTTAACAAAAATTGAATATATGGGGTTCTTTGATATGATGAATCTAAACATGTATTTAGATTTTTGATTTGGGCCCAGTTTTCAAGTTGGTCCAAATTGGGGTCCAAAATTAAACTTTGTTTGATTTCAACAAAAATTGAATATATGGGGTTCTTTGATATGCTGAATCTAACCATGTATTTAGATTTTTTATTTGTGGGCCCCGCTATCAAATTGGTTCATATTGAGGTCAAAAGGGTCCAAAATTAAACTTTGTTTGATTTCATCAAAAATTGAATTATTGGGGTTCTTTGATATGCCAAATCTAACCGTGTATTTAGATTTTTAATTTGGGGTCCCGTTTTTTAAATTGGTCTACATTAAGGTCCAAAGGGTCCAAAATTAAACTTAGTTTGATTTTAACAAAAATTGAATTCTTAGGGTTCTTTGATATGCTGAATCTAAACATGTGTTTAGATTTTTTATTGTGGGCCCAGTTTTCAAGTTTGTCCAAGTTGGGGTCCAAAATTAAACTTTGTTTGATTTCAACAAAAATTGAATAAATGGGGTTCTTTGATATGCTGAATCTAACCATGTATTTTGATTTTTGGGCCCCGTTATCGAATTGGTCCACATTGAGGCCAAAATTAAACTTTGTTTGATTTCATCAACAATTGAACTCTTTGGATTCTTTGATGTGCTGAATCTAACCATGTATTTAGATTTTGGATATTGGACCATAATAGGTAAATTAAAAATTTTAAGTTTTAGACCACATTCATTCTGTGTCAGAAACCTATGCTGTGTCAAATATTTAATCACAATCCAAATTCAGAGCTGTATCAAGCTTAAATGTTGTGTCCATACTTGCCCCAACTGTTCAGGGTTCGACCTCTGCGGTCGTATCAAGCTGCGCCCAGCGGAGCATTTTATTAATAATTGGTAAACATGATCATCAATACGTCGACTCGTTCCATGCATTTCCCTCATAACAGCATATGCTATGTAAACTCGTGTTCACTTTTTGCATGGAACCGGGTCATAGAATGATGCTTTGTGTATTTCTTGGAATTAATTCTTAATTGATTACTTAGCTCTGATACTCTTAATCTTTTAGGGAGTACTCCCCATGTACATCAACTTTACAGCCACATCTGTTTTGTAAATTTACATTGAATGAATAGATACAGAATCTTATTGATAGTGCATTTCATTAAATGATAAAGACATACCTTAATAATACCTTACACTTATTTCTCCTCCACCATATTGTAGCTCTTGATATCTAAACACACAGTAACATTCCACGCATTAATCAATATATTTATCTAATTAACCAACTGCATTCGATATTCTTAAGTAACTCAATTAATTGAATATTGATTATCGACAATTAGAATCCTTGTCAGTCTGCTACTCTCGCATTGTTTGTCTTTAGTTAACAGGCGTACGTGGTTTATAGGTGGTTTGTGTACTGATGGTGTGTATTTCCATTCAGTAATGTACAGTACATTTGGAAGCTAAATAAAAGACTGACATTCCGATATTGGAAGATTCAAGCATTGATACATTTCCCGATATTAGGGTTGTCTTCATGGTTCTAACAGAAGTTAGTATTGTTTACCGTTTTCAACTACGCTTTTAAAAAAACTTTTATTTTTGTACAGCTGCTTCCGTTACTACATTCATAATTTAATTAATTTTGCAATCTAATTAAAATCATATCGTCTACTTTGCTCCATTAGATTGGTTTGTCGGTCGTTTTACCAATCTTATCGAAATCAGATACTTGAGTGAAATGTCTGATTTTAATCAGAATGATATAATTTGGATACTACACTTGCATATTCAATATTCTTTTCTACTTTGTGCACATTAAGATGTAAAATATAGAAATAATTATAACTGGATGAAGATTTTGGTAAACTGCCATGAATTACTAGTAGATGGCAATATCTAGAATGAAATTCAGACGTGGCTTGTATTGATATTTGGGTTTTGCATTTAATAAGGGTACGATTATTGTCTTCTTTGGTCTGTTTGTACGCAAAAATTGGTAAGGTTAACCCTTTGGACGAAGAAAATTGTAAAATGAATCAAACATGAATTTGAATATATTCAGTAGTTACAAACATTATGAGAAAATAAACTGAAACTTTAATGCATTATTTGTGGTTAATAAAATTACCAGATGACAAAGTCATGGACCCTATCCTTTTTGCAAATGATTTCTCAACATTATACAGGTCACAACCTAAATAACAAGATGATATATGCCAAAAAGTTTTTTTATGATTATTTGCTCTATTAATGAAAAATCTAGGTGTTAAATGCCATTTGAGTCTTTGGTCTATTTTTTGTTTTTGCCATGGCGTTGTCAGTTTAATGCCACTTTAGTCTTTGGTTTATGTTTGGTTTTTGCCATGGCGTTGTCTGTTTATCTTCGAAAATATACTCCTTTAACCGTTCGTATTGGGTACACTTTTTTTGTGTGTAGAAATACACATAGACGGTAACGGGCAAACAACTTTACCTGGAGACTCAAATATGATCGCTTCCTTTACTATACAAGTCATAATATAAAATTGTAAAATAGTTTTTGAATCTCATATTTTCGGACCAATTTCGCGAAGTTTTATGTTCTTTTGAATTTCTTTAATCGATGCTATAATGTTGGTATTTTGGAATTAAAAATTCGCTAATGAACGTCGTAAAGATGAACTTCATAGGGTCCACGAAAAAATACTAAAAAAGGTCGGTACAATGGTACTCTTCCGATATCTATTTTGAAAGACTGAAATAACAAGACTAAAGATTTAGTCTTCGTTGATAATATAGTGTCAATGAGACAGCCATCCAACATCACAAAAACACATCTAGAGGTCAATATTCAGACTTGAACAGATATGTATCCTAAATTTTCAGGACCAGTTGAGGTTTACATCTTGTTAATCTATTCCGTTATCTAAACACTATTGTATAATACATATTAATTCTTGACAACTGATGATATACTTTATGACAAAGCCAAGAAAAGTGAAAGGAAACTATCACAGATTTAATATTTAACAGAAATTACACATTGCCATGGTACTAGTAGACAGCGAACCCTTAGCAACAACAAAAAAATAAATAATTACAACAAATTCCTTACAAATAGTCTACTGTTAATGCTATTTTTTGCTTTGAAATACATAAATCTTCAATGATTGAATTCTAGTTTGTGCTTTTTCAGACGAGTGTGCTGACCAAATTTTTCTCCACATACTTTACACTTATAACGAGGTTCTCCAGAGTGCACATGCATGTGAAAGTTCAATGTTGTCATTTGTGTAAATGATTTTTCACACACACCACATGTATAAGGTTTTTCTTTTGTGTGAATCCTTCGATGATTAGCGTAAACAGCGTGAAAAGTAAATCTTTGATCGCAAAAATCACATTTGTACGGTTTTTCACCAGTATGTAATCGAACATGTCGTACGAGATGATGCTTTTCGCTGAACTCTTTTGGACAGTGTTCGCATTTGTATTCTCTCTTAGCTGGTGGGTTGTGACATTTCATATGGCGAGTTAACTGATGGCTTTGTCCAAAATATCGGCCACATATTTCACACTGGATAGGCTTTCCTTTGTTTAAAAATTCTCCAGTGTGAACGCTATCGTGTCGTCTGAGAGCGCTCTTTTGTTTGAATGAGAGGTGACACAGATCACACTGAAAAGGTCGTTCGCCTGTATGAACTCTCATATGATTGTCAAAATTTCTCTTATTCGACTCCTGTTTTCCACACACTTTACATCTGAACTTGTTATCCTCTTTTATGTCACAGTTGTGAGTTTTTGCATGACTTTTAAAATTGCTTCTCTCCCCAAATGTTTTGCCACAGATCTCACACTTGAACGTTCTATTTGAAACTGGTTCAACTAAATGGACAGCCATGTGTCTTTTTAAGTTGCTTCTACTTGAAAAGGTTATGAGGCAAATTTCACATTCCCAAGTCTTATCTTTTGTTGGTTGTTTTATTTGAGTACCAAGCTCGTGATATTTTTTCTTTTTATGTTCTGACATTTTCTTTTTTCGTTTTACTTTTTCCGCAACATGTGACAGCTGGTTTTGAATCATAGTGTGTTTGTACGAAAACTTCCGGAAACTAATGTCACATCCAAGACGCCTTCTCCGATACTTTTTCACATCTTTCCTATTGGTCGCAAAAAAATCTCTTCGATCATAATCAGGTGGTGTTTGATTATCAATGTCGTATATGTCGGGCTCTTCCGATGCCTGAACTGTATAAACGATGTGTTTTCCATTAATATTCGCTTGTTTGACATGATAAAATAACCTTGCACAATTTTCGTTTACGGTAATTTCGTCCTCTACCGGTATTTCGTCCTCAGTTATTTCATAATACTCAGGATCTTTTATAATGTAACTTTCGCAGTCTTTAATTAAAGCCATGTTTCATTGATTGAAAGACATCCTGTGAAATAATAATTGCACAAAATTACGGTCATAGTTCAGGAAAAGCCATGCATGACAAGTCAGAAAATGAAAACAAAAACATGAAATACCACAGGTTTTAAAAAATAGAGCGGCATTATTGCTTCATAGACAATTAAAAGGTACAGTAATCTTACAAATGAGGTTTGCTGCCTAGGTTCATGACAGATACTAGTAGTCTTACCTTGAAGGAATTGGTTTCAAGTAAATAGCTCACCTCAACTTATTTCTCATCAATGAGATTGTATAATTTCATTTAAACTTATAAACTGTGACCTGTGTCGTAAAAGAAAAATGATACTGAATTTTTACTTCAGATTTTTTTTTACCGGAATGGCTAGGCTATTTGCATGTTAAGTTCTTCATAATTGTGTCCTTTTATCTATAGCTTAAAAAAAAAAATAATTTTATATGCAACATGATTTAAGTTTTTTTATCAAACATATATGGTAAGAACACTGTCTTACCAGTATAGGTCTGTTTACCTTATAATGAATAGTGTTAACTTACCAATATGTGTGTGTGTTTACCTTATAAATAAAGTCAATTAAACTTATCAGGGGTCAAATACGTGACAAATTTAAATTTGACCAGAGATCAATACAATACAACATACAATATTTACTTCTTATATAAACCAGATTATGTAAAAATAATTTTTCATTTTAAATTCTCTTGCGACTTGTCCAGGCTTTAAACGAAAGTTGTATATCTTTAATATGTGAACATTTTTGAGACATCAACCCAACGACACACTAAAAACTAGAAGCGTAGGATACTGGGTCCATGCTATCTTTTCCCTTGTTTTCCTTTGCTCCTTAGTGAATTATTGTTTTATTGGCATTCATACCACATATTTATATTTTTATATTCACTCAGGAGGTTCCCATAAAGTTATCCTTCAACTTCACTTTCTTTTGTGTAGATCATATTCCTCTCCACATAATTTAAAGGGGCACTAGCTGTCAAATTCATGTTCACCGATTTGACTCAAATTCTCATATTCGACTTGTAACATACTAAAACGTATATCCATTATCCAAATATAAAAAAAAGTCTAAAATAAACAATGTACGATGTATAAACTCGAAATTATGTATCAGCATTTCGTGTGTATTTTAGTCTGGACGCCATCTAATTAACCATCGAGGTGACCTTCCGAAGACTGCCGACGGTCATATAACCCGATATAAACATAAACATAGATATAAATAGATAGCGAACTCATGCAATTGGATTTTTCTAGGTCTGTTTGATTTCATATTATAGGTTAAAACAATATGTTAATAATCTTTTTTACCTGTATAAGAATGAGTTTTTGTAGATCGCATCAGTCAACCAAATGGTTTACCCTTGTTTCACTTTCAATGTTGACATTATTTTCCTTTTACTAGCTGAACACGCCTAATTCATGCGTAACCCATCTCTAGCTAAGAGGTTCAATTGAAGTTCACATGAATACGGATTTAAGGAGGTCGAATTATTCACTTGCAAGTGAATAATTCATTAGCGATGTTTCTTTGCTTATTTTGACAAAACTGAACCAGACTGGCTGCTAAAAGCGAATTTTTATTTCACTATTTAACTTTCATTGATGATTGAACAAAAAAAATATCATTTTTTATTTTTTTCTATATCTCGTAGTTAGTGCCCCTTTAAGCTACTGTGTTGATCGCATCTATATGCATTAAATGCATTGTATTTGACTTGATATATTGGATACAAGATATATATACAGTTAGGTGTGCTTTATATTTTGACTTACACCTAGAAATTGAGAGTGTAGGTCGGCGGATAACAAGACTTTACGAAAAAAGAGATTATTTCAATCTTACCATTATGAACTTATATGGGGCCCTTTATAGCTTGCTGTTCGGTGTGAGCCAATGCTCCGTGTTGAAGGCCGTACCTTGACCTATAATATTTACTTTTATAAATTGTAACTTGGATGGATAGTTGTCTCATTGGCACTCATACCACATCTTCCTATATCTATTCACATTTCTATGTAGCAGCAAATTCTAGGGAGTGTGAAAAAAATCAGGTTTCCTTATACATGTACACTTATTAAAATCGGATCCGCTTAATATTTATACGGACAAGCTTACGTGATTTCATTATGTGAATTCGAGGTGTCATACAATGGAAAATTATCCTGATTTCACCGTATACATTGTCTCATTGTTATTTTTTACTAAATGTTTTGTTAGAAAATGTATGGTTATGTATTTGAAATATATGAGTACTTGGTCACCAGTTTCATGGTGACACGTCTAACTATTTTGATTTAAAAAATCAAAAGTTGTATCCATTTTCTGTACATTTCTGTGATCTATATGATACTAATACCGAACAAAAAAGAATTTCCACTGCGTCAATACACATATATCAGAGACAGGTAAATCCAGGTCCGTAAACTCTGATGTTTGTCATAAAACAAAATGAAATATGACAATATAAGAATTATACGAAAGTATTAGTTCGACGGATTTGGCCATTGAAATAGATCGTTACTTTGTGTCTTTTGTCGTTCTTATACGACCGCAAAAAATTTTGCGGTCGTATATTGGTGTCACGTCGTCGTCGTCGTCGTCCGAAGACACATTGGTTTCCGGACAATAACTTTTGTTTAAGTGTATGGATTTCTATGAAATTTTACCATAAGGTTTATGACCACAAACAGAAGATTGGGATTGATTTTGGGGGTTATGGTCCTAACAGTTCAGGAATAAGGGGCCAAAATGGGGCCCAAATAAGGAACTGTGAGCTTTTGCTATCACTTGGCGTCCGTCGTCGTCCGTCGTCGTCTGTCGTCGTCCGTCATCGTCCGTCTAGTGTAAACTATTTCAAACATCTTCCTCTCTGAAACTACTGAACCAATTCCAACCAAACTTTAGCTGAATGATGCTTAGGGTATCTAGAATAAAGTTTGTGTTTAATTTACTGTTTCGTCAAATAACATGGCCGCCATGGCTAAAAATAGAACATTAGGGTAAAATGCAGTTTTTGGCTTATATCTCAAAAACCAAAGCATTTAGAGCAAATCTGACATGGGGGTTAAAGTGTTCATTAGGTGAAATTCTATCAGCCCTGAAATTTTCAGTTTAATCTGATAACCCATTGTTGGGTTGCTGCCACTAAATTGGTAATTTTAAGGAAATTTTGCAGTTTTTGGTTATTATCTTGAATATTATTAATGATACAGATAAACTGTGAACAGCAAAAATGTTCAGCGAGGTAAGATCTACAAATAAGTTCATATGATCAAAATTGTCAATTGAGAATGACCCCTTAAGGAGTTATTGCCCTCTAAGGACATTTTTACACAATTTGTTTATCATGTTTTCTAACTTAAAAAAATCTTCTTCTCTGAAACTTTTGAACCAATTCCAACCAAACTTAAGCTGAATGATTCTAAGGGTATCTATAATTAAGTTTGTGTTTTATTTTCTGTTTCGTAAAAAAACATGGCCGCCATGGCTAAAAATAGAATGTAGGGGTAAAATGCAATTTTTGGCTTGTATCTCAAAAACCAAAGCATTTAGAGCTAATCTGATGAGAGGTAACATAGGCGGATCCAGGGAGGCCCTGGGGGCCCAGGCCCCTCTTTTGTGGGAAAAATTTGGTTGATAATATAGGGAATTACTGAAGCATGACTGGAGCGGGCCCCCCTTAGGTCAGTCAGTGGCCCCCCCCCCCTAATGAAAAGTTTTGGATCCGCCACTGGGTAAAAATTTTTATTAGGCCAAGCTCTGTCAGCCCTGAAATTTTCAGATGAATCTAACAACCCATTGTTGGATTGCTGCAACTTAATTGGTAATTTTAAGGAAATTTTGCAGATTTTGGTTATTATCTTGAATATTATTAATGATAAAGATAAACTGTAAACAGCAAAAATGTTCAGCAAAGTATGATCTACAAATAGGTTGGTATGACCAAAATTGTCAATTGTCCCGTTAAGGAGTAATTGCCCTTTAAAATCAATTTTTAACAATTTGTTCATTTAGTTTGCTTACTTTAAAAAATCTTCTCCTTTGAAACTGCTGAATTAATTTCAGCCAAACTTGGGCTGAATGAGTTTCAGAGTATCTAGTATAAGTTTTGTGTTTTATTTTCTTGTACGTCAAGAAACATAGCCACTATGGCTAAAATGAAACATAGGGTAAAATGCATTTCTTTGATTTTGAAGAAAATATGACAGATACAAAGAACATTTCAATGGAAGTTTTAAGCCATTCATTAATATATATTGAAAAGCAAAAATAATCATTGATGAAAGATTTAAGCAAAAAAATTACAGGTGAGCGATTCAGGCTCTTGAGAGCCTCTTGTTCTAGTTTCCAGACAATAACTTGTGAAAAGGTGTATGGATCCCTCTGAAATTATACCACAAGTTACCATATCACAAAGGGATGGTAAGAATTTGCTTTGGGGGGTTTAGGCTCAAACTGTTTAGGAATTAGGGGCAAAAAAGGGGAAAAACCAGGGTTTTCAGGTTAATGGACAATTACTTAAGTACAAAACATAATTTTAAAGCAGTGTAAGGGAGGTAATTCAAACACATATTGTCAAATTACCTCCCTTACACTGTTTGTAAATTATTTATAAAGAAATGTATTGTCTTTAGGTGATTAGCTGTCAATTTATTTTTAGAAGTTACTATTTTAAAATTGTTTGATAAAGTTTATTTAATTATAGCCATGATTATGTATGTGAAGGAATTTTATTTTTAGATATTACTATTTAATGTTGCTGATGGAGGCTTTTTAATTTTAGGCATGATTATGATGTCATTTTCTATTTTAAAAACTATTTAATTATAGCCATGATTATGTATGTGAAGGAATTTTATTTTTAGATATTACTATTTAATGTTGCTGATGAAAGTGTTTTAATTTTAGGCATGATTATGATGTCATTTTCTATTTTAATACTTTTATGATGTATTTAAATGGGTTTTTATGGTTGCAAAGTCCTAGATGTCAA